TCTGGCCCCTATTTATGTACCATACGACATTGCAATCATAGTTGTAGATTGTAGAGATAAACAATTTTTCTTCAGTAATGTTTAACAAAATATTTACTGTTAAAGAGTTATCGAATAAAGACTTTTGGCCCCTCTTGGCCCCTAATGTGATGAGTCAGCACTTTTTTCTTGATATCATATTAGAGATCGTGTCATTCTGCAAAAATATTCCTCAGTATGTTTTAACAAAATAATTATACTTTAAGAGATATGATGCAAAATGTCTCAAAAAGTCAGTCCTGATTCCTGTCCTAAATTTTGACCCCTACCGAGCTTCCATACTAGACACTTCCGGAAAATATCCTGACCATGTTGCAATAGGGCAACATGTCCTCTATCATCCCTGAAAAAATCAGCTTTCTAGCTTGAGCCGTTTTTGAGTTCCATCACAGACAAGGAGGTCATCAAAATTTCGATCAAAGGGCGATAACTTCCGACCGGAAGTGAATTTTCAAAAAATAAAAAAAACGTATCAGGTTTAGATAAAGATACACCTTCTCCGAAAATTTGAAGTAAATCGTTCGAGTCATCTCCGAGAAATCTTCTGCACAAAAATTGTAAAGAAAAAAAAAGAATAATAATAACTAGATGAGATCTCGTTGCGAGCAACGAGTGGGTCTTCCGTCCAATTCTTGATGAGATGAGATAAGATTTTGATTGCGATTTTCATTCTTAAATAATGATTTACCACAATCTGTAAAAAGACATTGAACATTAAAGACTTTAAAAAATCGTCCTTTTGCCCCTAACGGCCCCTTATTTTAGGAATCGGCCCTCTTTATTCATATCATCTTAACGATCGTAAGATTTTGAACATTTTTTGTTCAACAACTGTTCAGAAATTCTTATTCGTTTTTGAGCTAAAAGCAAAAGATATAATCAGGGGCCAACCCTTCAACTGCTTAATGGGGACGTTTAGCAAAAAATGAAAGGTTGCATACGGTTCAGAACATTATTTTGAACAACTTTTGATCAATATTGCTTATCAAAATATTTCTCCCTTTCGATAGATAGTAGAGATATAGATCTTTGCTTCAGTAATGTATTACAAAATATTAACTGATAAAGAGCTATCGATTGAAGACTTTTGGCCCCTCTTGGCCCCTAATTCGAGTGCCCATTCCCTTTTTCGGGGTCTCATCTGAAAGATCTTAAGATTTTGAACATTTTTTGTTCAACAACTGTTCAGAAATTCTTTTTCGTTTTTGAGCTATAAGCAAAAGATATAATTAGGGGCCAATCCTTCAACTCCTTAACGGGGACGTTTAGCAAAAAATGAAAGATCGCATATTGTTTAGAATATGATTTTGAACAACTTTTGTTTAATATTGCTTATCAAAATATTTCCCCCCTTCGAGATATAAAGCATCAAAGATTTAGCATTATGGCCCCTTGTGGCCCTTAATTATGTACCATACGACATAAAGACCATAATATATAGTTGTAAACGGTAGAAATAAAGATCTTTGCTTTAGTAATGTATTACAAAATATTAACTGATAACGAGCTATCGATTGAAGAATTTTGTCCCCTCTTGGCCCCTAATTCGAGTGCCCATCCCCTTTTTCGGAGTTTCATCTTAAAGATCTTACGATTTTGAACAGTTTTTGTTCAACAACTGTTCAGAAATTCTTATTCGTTTTTGAGCTAAAAGCAAAAGATATAATTAGGGGCCAACCCATCAACTCCTTAACGGGGACGTTTAGCAAAAAATGAAAGGTTGCATACTGTTCAGAACATTATTTTAAACAACTTTTGTTCAATATTGCTTATCAAAATATTTCTCACTTTCGAGATATAAAGCATCAAAGATTTAGCATTCTGGCCCCTTGTGGCCCCTAATTATGTACCATACGACATAAAAACCATAATATATCGTTGTAGATGGTTGAGATAAAGATCTTTGCTTCAGTAATGTATTTCAAAATATTAACTGATAAAGAGTTATCGATTGAAGACTTCTGGCCCCTCTTGGCCCCTAATTCGAGTGCACAGCCCCTTTTTCGGGGTTTCATCTGAAAGATCTTAAGATTTTGAACATTTTTTGTTCAACAACTGTTCAGAAATTCTTATTCGTTTTTGAGCTAAAAGCAAAAGAAATAATTAGGGGCCAACCCTTCAACTCCTTAACGGGGACGTTTAGCAAAAAATAAAAGGTTGCATATTGTTTAGAACATGATTTTGAACAACTTTTGTTCAATATTGCTTATCAAATTATCTCTCCCTTTCGAGATATAAAGCGTCAAAGATTTAGCATTCTGGCCCCTTGTGGCCCCTAATTATGTACCATACGACATAAAAACCATAATATATAGTTGTAGACGGTTGAGATAAAGATATTTGCTTCAGTAATGTATTACAAAATATTAACTGATAAAGAGTTATCGATTGAAGAATTTTGGCCCCTCTTGGCCCCTAATTCGAGTGCCCATTCCCTTTTTCGGGGCTTCATCTTAAAGATCTTAAGATTTTGAACATTTTTTGTTCAACAACTGTTCAGAAATTCTTATTCGTTTTTGAGCTAAAAGCAAAAGATATAATTAGGGGCCAATCCTTCAACTCCTTAACGGGGACGTTTAGGAAAAAATGAAAGGTTGCATATTGTTTAGAACATGATTTTGAACAACTTTTGTTCAATATTGCTTATCAAAATATTTCTCCCTTTCGAGATATAAAGCGTCAAAGATTTAGCATTCTGGCCCCTTGTGGCCCTTAATTATGTACCATACGACATAAAAATCATAATATATAGTTGTAGACGGTTGAGATAAAGATCTTTGCTTCAGTAATGTATAACAAAATATTGACTTTAAAAGAGTTATCAAATAAAAACTGTTGGCCCCTTTCAGCCCTTAATCTGATGAGTCAGCACATTTTTCTTGATATCATATTGAAGATCTTGATATTTTGCACAAATGTTGTACAGTATATTTTAACAAAATATTTATATCTTAAAAGATATGATAGAAAATGTCTCAAAAAATCACTCATAAAACGTGTCCTAAATTTTGACCCCTACCGAGCTTCCATACTAGGCACTTCCGGAAAATATCCTGACCCAGGTGCAATATGGCAACATGTCCTCTACCATCCCTCAAAATTTCAGCTTTCTAGCTTGAACCGTTTTTGAGTTCCATCACAGACAAGGAGGTCCTCTAAATTTCGATCAAAGGGCGATAACTCCCGACCGGAAGTGAATTTCCAAAAAATAATTTGCCGGAATTAACTTCAGATCACAACGCATCGACTGTGAAAATTTGAAGCAAATCGAACGAGACATCTCTGAGAAATCGTCTGCACAAATTTTGTAAGAAGAAAAAAGAATAAAAATAAAATAATAATAATAATAATAATAATAAAGGTAAAAAAGAAACCGAAGAATAATAGAAGGGTCTTCCGCTGAAGACGGAAGACCCTAATAAAAGTGAAAAAGAAACAATAGAATAATAGTAGGGTCTTCCGTTGGAGACGGAAGACCCTAATAAGAAAATTGAAAAAGAAACATAAGAATAATAGAAGGGTCTTCCGCTGAAGACGGAAGACCCTAATAATAAAAGTGAAAAAGAAACCGAAGAAAAACAATAAGGTCTTCCGCTGAAGACGGAAGACCTTAACTAGAGCAAAGCTCGTTGCAAAGCAACGAGTGGGTCTTCCTTCTAAGCAATAAGCAAAAAGTGAAATGTTCAAATGTCAACTTTGCTACCATTCTTTATTTCTTTGACTCAAACAGCAAAAACCCTTTCTTAAAGTCTGATTCTGGAGTGAGCACAAGGATAAACAATCCAATGGTAATCTCACCAACACCATTGAAACTGTACCTACAAAATTTATACAACCACATATTTTGACTTTGATTTGTAGACATATACTAGTATCACCTATGATGCAATCATATTAGTGAAGTGTTTTATGCTACGGATATATCATAAGCTTAAAAATTGCTTCAAAAACATTTACACAGTATAATTAGATCGTATTATAATAGAATGTAATCCCAATGTGTTACTGATGAACTATCTCCATTTTTTTGTCAGTCAGAAAAAAGACCAATACTTTTACAAGAAAAACAAAGGAATGTGTTGTGCATGTCTCTAATTTGCAGACCTCCACTGGCAAATGGTGGTATCTCAATAAGAGTGTAGTAAAGTTCTCTGAACAGGACATTCAACAAAGAGATCTCCTTTTAAAAGCACTGCCCTTCATATGAACAAATTTTATTCCCCTACACTAAAGAATGCTCTGTGCCAAGTTTAACTTAAATTGTCCTGTGGTTCTGAGAAGAACATGAAATTCTGATGAATTTCATTCAAAGATGATAATGGGTGACTTTTATTTTTAAAAAAAATTACTAAAGCATTAGATCATATGAGTTAAACTGTATACAGATTTAGTGCTTTGTTGACTTTGAAATATGATTGGACATCTCTTTGATCTTATGTTTGAAACAACATGTACATGTCCTTTGTGCTGAAAAATGCACATATGTTAATGGTGTAGTTGTTTATGCCAAAATAGTAACTTTCCTTCAATAATACTGTAAAAATACACATATTATATCTTAAATATTGCTGCTGAAGACAGAGCTTTATCATCTTAACCATTAGCATTGGTATGCCTTCCCTTAGAAACGGAAGACCTTAATACATATCTATGTAAACATGCAAGATCTGACACATTTAAAAAGAACATTTATTCCAAACTAAACATAATAGATTCTGTAACAAAATCTATTTCTCTTGAAAAACTGAAAGCAATTGATATGTTCATATTTGTCAAATTGTGGATTTATGTCTTTTTCTCAAATCTAAATTCGAATATGCTATATCTAAAGTCATCCTCTTAAACTGAGACTGTTTCACATGACAGTTTCAATTTCATTACGCTGTTTATACTTTGTCATCTGATCTCCCAACAGATGCTCTTCTGGCAAATCATGATCATGCTTGGCAACAAATTTCAATACTCAGATGACAGTCACAGTCACACCTATCAAAAAGAAATTGAAATTTTTCATTGATTTTTTTTTTTTAAAGTGCAACTTATAAGATAAGATAAACCATCAAACTGAGTTCAAAGACACGATCACATTTTCTGCATGTGTATTATTTGTAAAACTACTCTATAATAATTATGAATATAGGTTTACAAGCAGTCATTTGAGGATGTTTTAAAATAACACATTAGATTTTCATGATTTCAAATAAAGGAAATGTACATTTATACTTGTTCATATAAAAATTATTAGGAATGGTAATGGTTAACAGTTGTTAAATGATTAATCAGTTAGAAAGATGGTATTTGATTATAATTTTTATGTGTCAAGATATATCTATTTGTAAAGGTGTTACATTAGGCACAGTGTGCTAATGAAGTAACAAAAGTCACAAAACTTTATCACATAAGGAATGATGAGCTAGCGCAAAGTAAAAATGTGGCTCTAGCTCCTTTATAACACCATGCTATACAAAGTTTATGACAACATGCTAGCTGGTTTAATACACTTGCACGCTAGCTTGAAGTAAAAATGCACTACAACGCTTATGACCATGATGACAATCGGCTAGTGTGTTTATGACGACAAGGTTTCAAAAATGTTTCAGCAGGCTGTTTACACCACACCGTCAAGCTTACACAAAATAGACTGTGTAAAGTTTTGTTACCATGGAAGCATGTTTTGTGTCAGCACAGCTGCATGTTGTTTTAAGTTGCCTTTGCCTGACAGTGTTGAGAACACTGTGTTGGCACATTGTTCCTAACACGCTGTTACACTTTTACAAATCGTCTTATCAGGACACAATAATTTTCATAACTCCTTTATTATATGGCAAAAACATTTCCCAAACTGTAGAAGTACATTTTTCCGCGTTATATTAATTTACTCTATGTACGCGGTCACACAATTTCCTCAGAAATTTGTCCAAGCTTACTTAATGTAAATGTAAGGCATACAGTGACTGTCTGAAAAATCTGCATAATTTTCTACCCACAGATTAAACAGAAATTTAGATTCTGTGGAATTATGACGCCGTGGGAAAAAGTACATCTATAGTAATTTATGATAATCATTTCAACTAAAAAACACTCAAATTAATGATTTTTCAAATAGCGTTATTCAAACTAACGTCTGTCCTGTAAGGGTTCAATATAACATCATTCTGATGACTCAATTGAGTGATATGATTTGCTTATTTAGGTTTTAATGGGTTTAATATGCACAAAATTTTTAGTAAATAATTTCATTTTGTGTGAAAAATAAATACATCTTATGTAAATGCCACTTAATTTCGTTAATTTAGCTCTGAGGATTTGACTAGACAACTTTTTTGTTTAAAACGTTCGATATTGAACGCTCGTATGCGGAATGTTTCGGGCATACTTATATACGCTATACAAAGTTAGCGTTCAATAAAACATCAACGTATTAAACGCTAAAATTCTATAGATTTTCGGTTGTATTTTATTAGAGACTAATCATTAGCTATATAATAAAACCCAAATACATCATTGTCTGTTATGGTAGCCTAGTGGTAGGGCATTCCCTTTGCAAAATCATGAAGCTGGGCTTGATTTTAATTCACTGCATCAAATTTAAGACATAAACATTTACGCAGTAATGTTCCTTAACAATGCACCCGGCATATAAAGTGAACTAGACCTTAAAAACCTCACAGTTCATGTTTACTTAGGACAATGACCCTGAGTTCTAAGTAAAGGTCTAAACTGATGCTTTTCAACTGTTACATTACATATTAACATCTCTAAATATGTGAATGAGTGAAATTCTCAAATAAATATTATCAATCAAAGTATCAGTAAGAAGCTGAACCTTATGTCGCAGGTTCCAATCCCATTGCTAAATGCTTGAGACAGGTTACTCCGATGAGACTGTATAAACCAAGATTCTGTGTCACGGTAGGTGTTGGTACAAAGAGGATCCCATACTTCTCAAAGGCAATAAGTGCTGAGTACAAGTCTATATTTGCAGCTAATACTATCCCAAGTGGTGGCACCATAAAATGACTGAAAAATGTTTGATAGGCCAATAAACAAATAAACCATTCCTGCAGTCTTATCATACAAAAAAGCAAACTTTCTATTATTACAATTTTTTTAAAACAAATTTCTTTTGCAATTTAACTGAGCAATATTTGTCCTTTTTTTGTCAATAAAGTATGATATTAATTAAGACTTTTTGAGAACATCTATATATAGCGAGTCCAGACAGCAGAACAAATCCCTGCTCATAATGCGAGCTCTTATGATAACACCTTGGCAAAAGAAGATTGTGACTATCACATTGATCCATATAATGTTTCCGCAGTTAACTTTGGACCCACAGTGCTTTGCTTCTTTAACATGTTTAAGCTACATTTTTGTAAGAATTAATTACCAAAATATTCAAAAAAATAAAACTCACCTTAATTTAATGGATAAATTGAGATAAATAGTGAATAAAAACATTGCTCTGACATTAAAATCAGCACTTATATTCAAGCTTTAGACTGGTTATGTAGTAAGAGTGCAACGATAAACCGTTTGACGGTATACCGCGGTTTATTTTTCCCCGGTTCGGTTCACGATACCTCAAACTGTTATCACAGTTCGGTTCAATCTGTCTGTAATTATCCAAATTGTCCATTTTGGTTCCTCATTTACAATTTTAAAATGGCTTCTGCACGAAACATGAGGTCAATGAAACTGCAGACATGGCAGTTAAACCTGTTTCCAGCCTCATATTTAACGGGTCGAATGATGTTATCACTTTCCCAGTGTTAGTTTAATGAACATTTGATGAAACCTTTGAGTTTAGAGTATATGATGACAAACCTCTGACTTTTTAACACAATATGTCACGTACCGTGATAAGTTTCGTGAACTGAATACCGTGATACGTATCATACCGTGGGGTAGGTGTATCGTTGCACCCCTATTATGTAGGCCTAACTTAGTCACTTACACTACGATGACATGTGACTTCAGAGTCTATAACCCTGTTCACAAGGAGAGTTGAATTCGCAGTAAATTATCACGAAGTAAACTAATGCGAATCAAATTAATGCAAATCAAACTGTGTTCACATGACAGCTAATGCGAAGAAAACAAATGCGAATTAAAATTTTACTTCTACAGTCAGGCTTCAGTAAGGGTATTATGACATCTTTTACAAATCATGTCACCTACAGCAGAAGCAGATGTATTTGACATAATGTCACAGTGTCTGAACACCCATTTTAGTGATTAATACTATTTTCTTAAGTTTTTCACTCAAAAATAGCACAAGTACTTTAAGCTGACCACCACTATGAAGCATTTTGATTTAATTTTGCCATTACGCATGCCTATGCGGTTTGACAAGCCTGATCTAAATTAAAACTGAATAAGTATCTACCCTCACCCGAACAGTCGCACTGTCAATATATTATTAGTTGAATATATACTGTAACAATAAGCGTAGTTTGAATTATAGAGTATGATCACTATGATAGATAGTATGACCATGATGACTGTTGTGTTGGAATTTTTGCATTTTTGGTTTTGAAAGCGAGACCACAGGGGCTTATCACGAATTATTTATCTTCTTTTAATATAGTTACCCGGGCTTACCCCTACTATAAAAATGTATTTTGAAAGTAGGGGTAACTATATTAAAAGAAGATAAATATTTCATGACAAGCCCCTGTGGCGAGACTTGTTGAAATTACATCCTCAAATTTTTTTTTGGAATAAAATATAAAGCTGTGGGGATTTACAAGGCTAACAGAGAGCGTCTGAACTGTAAAACAGATAATATATCGGTGTGTCTTGTATTTCTAATAATATAAATGCTCTATTACTAAGCTGTAATGTAATCAGTACTGTAGTGTAAATTTTAAGTAAAAAAAAATATTCTAACCTTCATTCCAATGGTCCAAGCAAGCCAATCATACATTAAAATGTCGCCGTCAGCTCTTTCATCACTCGATACAATTATCACTGGGAAATCCCAAGCAGAGTCAAGAGTGTTCATCCCAATCTCCCATGCAGAGTTGTCGTTCGTTCCTCTCTCATACACCTCTGCGATGGGCTCACGTCAAGATTTTTGACATAACGTATAAAACGTGATATTTGAAGGATTGTTTCAATTTAAATTAATAGTTTTGTATTGATTTAGTCAATATCTATCTCAAAAATCAGACATAATCATAGAAATTGAATTATTATGAATTAAAACAAACGCACTATTTCTCGTGTTTAACACTGTGTATACGCGAGCCAACGACAGAGGTGAATGTATGAGCCGATGGTAGAGAGTGAATGTATGAGCCGATGGTAGAGAGTGTGTTCATCCTTGTTAATGTGACAGTCGGAATTTCCTCGTAAACAATTCAAACAAGATTCTTAGAATATATGAATCGGGATAATTCTGCTTAGAATAATGTCCCAGAGGAGTGACAAAGTACTTCGTAGCTGCAGATTAAATGTGCGTGAAGGTCTATATACGGCCTCTATGGTGAGAAAATGTTCAACTTCACAAATCATTTCTATCATGTGTCCGACGTCGACTTGATGGTAGACAGACTACTCGGCCCAACGACACCTCGGCCCGTGCTGGTTGACACCTCGGCCCTGACAGGTCGGCTCAAAATCATTGACACCTCGGCCCATACCGAAGACTGCTCGGCCCGTTAGGAATAAAATTAAATTTAGTTTGTTTAAATCATTTTTTTTTTTACTTTCTATGCCACGGTAATGTAATGTATACTATGTATATTTAATCACTATACGTATACTATAAATATACGATAATTTCAATATTTCAGTATTTTCTAACAAACCACAGCACAACATCAAATTACAATCCGTTGATTGGGAGGTACATGTAATAGGTCTACAAAGAAATTTATGCCCTGGTTTTCAAGATTTATTGATTTAAATTGTTTATTTTATATATATATATTTTACTGCTTAATTTTAAAAACTCATAGGCCTATTTTTTTCAAATCAATTTAATAAAATATCAACAAGGGTTTCTTAAAGAAACTTTTCATTAACATGAGTAAGTCTCCCAATTATGGCTTCTCGTAATTAACTCCTCATCGTCACCACCCCATATGACACGCGCTCGAGACTCCAAAAGGATGCACCGCGTCTTCTTGTTTGTTTAATGATTAGCACTTATGATCAAGTTACTAATGGATTGTCTTTCTTTAATTACCGTCAATTTGCCGTCTTGGAAGATTGCAAATGTATCAAATTAATTTTCTTTTGCATTTCATAGATATATAATAGCATAAATAATAAATATATTTAACTAAAATATTATATTTCTATTTGGGCCGTGGTGTCTTTTATGTGAGCCGAGGTGTCTGCAAATTTGGGCCGAGCCGTCGGAGCCGAGGTGTCAATGGGCCGAGGTATCCTTGGACCGAGGTGTCTTTGGGCCGAGCAGTCTGACATTCGACTTGATGGGGCACACTAAAAACGGGATATACTAAAGACCTGATATTTACCTGGCGTTTTAATTTTTAATTAAATGATAATATTGAGTATTTTAAATAAATTTTGTAAATACTTTATGACTTTGATGCATTATGCTATACAAAAATTCAATTGTTTGGAATATTTACAGACAATTTTGAATCAGGTCAAATCAGTTTTTAGTACATCGCGTCTTTAGTACCTTCCTATTTCCCACAATGCCGCGCGTTGTTTACAAACAAGAGACCCCGAAAAAAAATCCTCTAAACTAATTATTGTTGTGTACATCACCACATTTTAAAATTATTTGAATAAAAAGAAAACAGAGAAACACCGAATCAAAACTATATCTTTCAGATGCATCAACTAAAACTGTGCACATGCAGTAAAGGCTTGGCTGGTTATAGTAGACAACTTGTTCCTGAAAGGTTTCTCACATATTTGTTTTTTTTTTTTTTTTAACAATTAAATATAGCTTGAAGTTTATTTCTTTTTATATCAAATGACAAGATTTAATAAGTTCGAAATTATTTCAGTCAAACTTTTTCATAATATACCAATATTTTTAGCTATCAGAAAATAACGTGTATGAGCTATTAACCCCTAATTATAGGGACCAGCCCCTTTTCATTAATCTAATATGAAAGCTCTCGTAATTACACACAACTTTTGTTTTATATCTCTTACCAAATTATTCTCGGTTCAAAAGTTATTACACAAAAAGTAGCAAAAATTCAAGGAAAAAAAAATACTAAAATTTGCCGTTTTATAGCTTCCAAACTTTAAGAAATCATCTTATAATTTTATCGTTCTGCACATCTACAATGTATTAGCAACAAGTTCTCCAACTTTCGTGTAAATATCTTATGTCGTTCTTGAGATTTTTAGTGGAAACGAGACATCAAAAATTATCAATTAAAGGGCAATAACTCACAAATAAAGGCATGCATCAAAAAATTGAAAACAGGTGTAAATAGGTTTAACTACAAGGTATCTAACCTGAAAGTTTCATAAAAATCAGTCTAAAGGTCTTTGAGAAATCGCCTGTCAAAAATCGAGCGGGGAAAAAAAAAAGAATAACTAGACCAAAGCTCGTTGCAAAGCAACGAGTAGGTCTTCCGTCCTGTTTGACCGGAAGTAGCTTTCATTTTTAAGAAAAAATAAGAAATAAAGCCTAAAAATGTTTTGAATCATCTAAAGCTATGTTAATTAATGCAGAAATAAGCAAGTTTTGCTACTTCCGGTAAGAATAATAATAATAAGACTAGAGCAAAGCTCGTTGCTAAGCAACGAGGAGGTCTTCCGTCCTGTTTGACCGGAAGTAGCTTTCATTTTTAACAAAAATGAGAAACAAGGAAAAAATTGCTTTGAATCCTCTAAAACTATAATAATTAATGCAAAAATAAGCCTTTTTTGCTACTTCCGATTTTACCGGAAGTGACGACGACGGACGGAAAATTAATTATTATGCTCCCAGAAACATTTGTTATTTAAAAAACTTGTCTAGAACGGCAAAAATATGCGTTTCCGACTACTTCCGGTTTGGCCGGAAGTGACCCGGAAGTGACGACTCCGGACGTATTTTGACGATTTCAATAGATTCAGCTTGACATTTTGAACAACTTTGCTTCTTTGACCTATTACAAATTCTCAATACTTTATAAGATATAAAGAAAACAATTTCGGCTCCCCTTGGCCCTTAATTTTAGGGGCCAGCCCTTTTTTCGACATATCATTTGAAAGATCTTGAAATTCTACACTTCTTTTGTTCTATATGTCTTAACAAAATATTTCCAGGTAAAAAGATATTGTAGAAAAGTTGTTAAAAATTGTGAAATTCGCGATAGGCCTATTTTCGGGCCATAGCGAGCGCCGACGTGCGGCACTTCCGATAAAAATGAAATACCTTATACATATCTATAGACTTTGGTCTATCATACCTGAAAGTTTCATGTTTCTATGTTGAGCCATTATTGAGAAAACTGCCGGACAAAATGACCCTCTTAAACTCACTAAATCGCAGAAAACTCCGAACCGGAAGTGACGTCATCAAATTAAAAAAAAACGCCTTAAGTTCATATCATTTGTCATCAATGCTGAAAGTTTCATTAAAATCCATCGACGCATTTACGAGAAATCGCGTGCACAAAATCGGTAAGAATAATAATAAGAAAAGTTGAAAAGAAACAACAGAAAAATAAGGTCTTCCGTTGAAACGGAAGACCTTAAAAAGTTGAAAAGAAACACCAGAAAAATAAGAAGGTCTTCCGTTGAAACGGAAGACCTTAACTAGAATCTTGTTGCCATTGCAACAAATAAGTCTTCCGTTCTTCTAAATCTGTAAGAATTTGCTTTTTTCTCTGCAAAAAACATAGATATCATATGTACTCTGAAAGAAAAAAAAACTGCAAAAAGGTCTTTCAGTACTTAAGGTACTTTGATTTTCATGACCAATCTTGTTCTTATGCATTTTGGCACTCATAAGAGCTACACGTGTATCACAGACAAACCAACGGACGAACGAACACCGTACTCTCATAAACTTCACTGTGTTTATGTTCTGGCACAATTGTGATGGTGTTATAAAAATGTCATGAACTAAATTAGTACCACATTAAACGTAAAGTCGTTGATTTTTACAGAAATACTATCGAGATTTGTCAGCAGAAAGATTATTCAACTACAGGAATTATTCAGCAATCGATTAATTGATTATATGTTGTTTAATGTCCCTCTCGAGAACTTTTCACATGCATGGAGAAGCCTCCAGTCGCCGGTGGAGACTGCAAAATGTTGTCCTATAATTTTGCTCTAATCGCCATTGAGCAGTGAGGAATCTTTTTGAGTCAGTACCATCTGACACACGGGACCTCGATTTAAACGATCTCATCTGACGGACCGGTCTCCACGTCCCAGAAGTCCATAATACAGATATATGATGCTCTAGCCATGTTTTTATTTTATTTTTCATTTCTCAAATTTGTTGCATCAGATTTTCTTAAAGATCATACGTAATAAAAATCATTTCGAACAACTTTATTGCAATACATACAGCGTCCGGTGATTTTGATTGACAGGTCAATACATGTGCACTTAGTGTAATACTTCTTAAGCAGAAAAAATATACAGAGAGTGACTATGACGGACTATGAAATCAGAAAATATTTAATAAAGAATGGGTACAACTGATATAGAACTGATTTTTTGTCTATGTAAATGGATAGGATAATCAGGATTAAAAGGGAATCTCTCTCTCTCTCTCTCTCTCTCTCTCTCTCTCTCTCTCTCTCTCTCTCAGACATGTAAATTTCAGTATCTTGCGTAATGAAAAATCTACTATTATAGAATATGAATTCTGTATACATGTTAATGGTAAATATAACCAAATGTTCCAGATTTAATTGTAAAACGAATTTATAATTCAAAGGCCTATAGTTGCAATAATGTCTCCGAATAAAATCAAGAGGGGGGGGGGGGGGCTTCAAAAGAATTACATACTCGGTAATTTTAAGGTTGCATGTACATACATATAATTATATAGCATTG